TGAAGACTGTTGTTAGTCCAATATAAATGAATTTTCTCACAAATGTTTAAGGTTTGTGTTCTGCTAGACTACCAAAACTATTTAAATAGCATTTCCACTAAGCCTAGCTAAATTAATGCTCCCAGTTTTTTATTACTTAATTCCGTGCACCTTCCCATATCATTGTATTTTGAAAGGACTTCTTTGGACCTGATCTGATCTTTTGGATCTCCTTCCAGAGATTGGCCAAATCCTCGGTTCATCATAGGAAGGAAGAAATGCAGACATCATTATAAAGATTTTCAGATTTGGACACTAGAATTAACCCAGGAGATAAACACTTTTAATGCAACACATTTCATTTTGGGAAAGAATTTCTTTCCTCCTCCACTTTTGGGCATATAAACAGAATGGTTTAAAAATGATGTGTAGTTCTAAAGCAAGTTAAAATTAATTTCAAGTTGAGTATTTTGTCATATTTCTGTGAAGACAACTGTATCTATCAGTGAACTGTATACCAAACAACACACACACAACACAGACATATGCAATTATACATATGCACCCCTATACACACACACATATACACACACATATATATAACAGTGTTCTTCCTTTAAGTAGAAAAAAGCCTTTGTAAGATATTTTCTTCAAAAGTATCTTCACTAAAAAAAACTGTCCATAATTTAAGGATGAATGGTGGAATTCTTGATTGAGACTTCACTAGGGGAAGGAAAAGGATAGGGTTTGGGGGTGAGGTGAGGAATAAGTGTGGAGAGCAGTGGGCAGGGGGCTGTTGTTCCTAAATCTCCAGCTAAGAAGAAAAACCCAAAGAGATTTTGAGACTTCTCCCAGGAGATTTCACAGCAGATGAGAAAAGAAGAATTCTCAGCGAGTAGAATTTTCTTAGAAAAGGAAGATGATGATAATAGCAACGATAATACTAATAACAGCAATATCAGTGATAACAAACATGTCCACTCTGGGCCTAATTTAATCACTTATAAAACAACAAGAATGGACTAAATAAATAATCTTTAACTTCAGTTCTAGCTTGATGGTCTGTTGTGCCCAGTTTTCTTTTTTTAAAGAATGTAGTATAACAACAATAGTATATTATGTAGTATAATTAACAATAGTTAACCTTATATTAGTTCCTTAGGATACACTAGTCATTTATGAACACTTCCATTATGAAAGACATTCTTCTTGACACTGGGAATACAAAGGTGAACAAGGTGGTCTTGGTTCTCGTCCTCATGGAGCTTATAGATTCTCTATGTTTATGAAATAATTATATTCTTCAGAACTAAGACCTGAGACACTTACTCTAGTTAGTCATAATACGTAATTTACAAATTCCAGGCTGAATGAACTGCTCTTGAATTGGTCATGAGGTCAATATACTTAAGAATCAATCTGATACATGGACATATTTTTTTTAACTCTGGTGAAGTTCACAATACTTACATTAAGCAAGACTTTGGAGATTATCTTTGCCCAACCCATCACATTTTACAGGTGAGAACAGGGATGTGTAGGGAGATAAAAGCCAGTTTCAGAAGAACAGAGCCAAAGTGATTATTCTGTTTCCTTATTACCCGTTTCTTCCACTGGGGGGCAGCACAGTGTAATGGTCAGAGCTTGGGCTCTTCAGGCCAGCCCTGATTCGATTCCGTTTTTTGCCACTATCAGTATGACGCTGGGCAAGTTGTTTAACCTCACCAAGCTGTAGTTTTCTTGTCTGTAAAATAAGAGTGGTATATATTTTATAGAGTTTTTATGAGGATTGGTATTAATCAAGATACTGTATGTAAAGCTTTAAGAGCAGAATCTGGCACATAATAAAGACCCAGTAAATTATTAGTGATCATACTCAGTTATCATACTTCATGTACCTTTTAGCTATAATTGTTTTTAATTTTCATGCCAATTATTTATTTTGGAATAATTTATACATTTATATTACATACTGTGTGTATACTGTGTGTATAATGTATGCAACCGAAGTGCTCCTTAGAAGCAAGGATGGAAAGACTTTATCTTGCTTACTTTGGACGCATCATCAGGAAAAACCAATATCTAGAAAAAGACATCGTGGTTGGTAAAGTAGAGGATCGGCAACCAAAATGAGGGGAATCCTCAATGAGATGGATTGACGTAATAGGCACAACAATGGACTCAAACATACCAGCAGTCATGAAGATGGCACAGGACCGGGCAACGTTTTGTTCTGTTATACTAAGGTTGCCACCAGTTGGAGGTGGCTCGATGCCAAGTAACAACAACATCTATGCGTGTACATGTATATATTTATATAAGATATGGAACCCTGGTAATGGAGTGGTTAAGTGCTTGGCTGCTAACCAAAAAGTTGGCAGTTCAAATCCACCAGCCACTCCTTGGAAACCCGGAGCAGTTCTGCTGTGTCTTATAGGGTCACTATGAGTCAGAGTCAACTTGACGGCAACGAGTTTTTTTTTTTTTTTTTTTAATATAATACATATAAAATATAGTAAAAGACTACCAACTCTGCTTCTCAGATACCCAGGCACCAATATTATTAGTTTCATATGTATCCTTCCAGAAATAATCTTCTTTTTACATACATACAGTGGCATACCATATCTATACTTACTATTTTTAATTTAAGAATCTATTTTGGAGATTTTTTCCATATTACTACTTAATGACCTTCCTTGTTATTGTTGTTATTAGGTGCCATTGAGTTCATTCTGACTGATAGCGACACTATGTACAACAGAATGACCTCGTCGTGTGGCATCCTCACAACAGTTGCTATGTTTGAGCCCATTGTTGCAGCCACTGTGTTAATTTACCTCGTCAAGGGTCTTCCTCTTTCTCGCTGACCCTCTACCTTACCAAACACGATGTCTTTCTCCAGGGACTGGTCCCTCCTTATAACATGTCCAAAGTACGTGAGCTGAAGTCTTGCCATCCTCGCTTCCAAGGGAAACTCCGGTTATACTTCTTCCAAGACAGACTTGTTCATTCTTCTGGCAGTCTATGATATATTCAGTATTCTTTGTCAACACCATAATTCAAAAGCTTCAATTCTTCTTCAATCTTCCTTATTCATTGTCGAGCTTTCCCATGCATATGAGGTGATTGAAAATACCATGACTTGGGTCAGGTGCGACTTAGTTCTCAAGTTTGCTCTCTTGACTGCTGCTTCCATGGGTGTTGATTGTGGATCCAAGTAAAATGAAATCCTTTACAACTTCAATCTTTTCTCTGTTTATCATGATGTTGCTTATTGGTCCAGTTGTAAGGATTTTTGTTTTTTTTATGTTGAGGTGTAATCCTTCCCTACTTCTTTTTTATGACAACGTAATATTTCGTTATATGATGTACCTAACTAACTTAACCAGTTCCCATTTATGGAAATTTAGTTCATTTCTAGTCTTGTGCCATTACAAACATGGGACTACTGGGTCCAAAAGTTTGCGCCCTTGTGATTTTGATTAGATAATTGCCCTCTGTAGGATCTGGACCCGTTTATACTTCCCTCAGTCCCATCTTCCCTAGTACAGTAACTTGTCAAACTTTTGATTCTTTGCCAATCTGATAGGTAAAAATATAGGATCTTAGTGTAATTGTAACTTCCATTTATTTTAGTATGAGTGAGATTATTCATTTATTTTAAGCAATTGGGTGGATGCCAACCTCCAACCTTTCAGTTAGCAGCTAAGTGCGTTAACTGTTTGCACCACCCAGGGACTCCAGTTGTTCTTAGGAAAATAGAAAAAGGAGAAGCTCTTGAAAACACACATTTGCTGGAACAATACTTCGCAGTGGATCTTTTTCAGTGAGTCACTTCATGTATTTACCAGCGATGAGGAAACAAGAGAATTGGGTTCAACTCACATAGAGAAGATCTCTACAGTGAAAGGAAAAGTGGTTTTCAGTATGTTTTGGCATATGAGGGCTCCTCATCAGTGAAGCTCTTGAAATTTTCTTCCAACATAGAGGAGCTTCTTATAATTATCAGATATTGAGATTAACTGCAATTCATGAAAATTTTCAGAGGGGTTCGGAGGTATGTTGTTGTTGTTGTTAGGTGCCATCGAGTTGGTTCTGACTCATCGCGACCCTATGAACAACAGAACTAAAAGAAAAAAGATATAAAAGGAAAATTCTTTAAAATTTTGTTACCTGTCAGTTTTGTGACTAATTCCTTCTTAACCAATCTTCTAGGAACTTTCTTTTGCATAATTATACCCTCTATTATTCTGTGTCTTAACTACTCTTCATTTGGAGAATTCCAGTTACTTCTGCTTCTTTTGCTAGAATCCTAAGAACAGCCACCAGTCACTTTTCCTTAACTCTTGGTAATAGTTTTGGCAATAATTCAAACATGGCAATGCCTCTCTAGGACCAAGCGCCTTCCAGAACACGGACCCTAAACTTTTTCAGTGAGGACTATTTTCATTTTCTATGATGAAGAACACATTGGTTTGGGACATCTTTTCTGAATATCTGTGTTTGGGAGTGGGGTGGGGGGGCACGTGGGAAATGATGAGAGGATAGGACTTTTGTGGACAGTTAAAGTTGTATGTGGGGTAAGTTTCATGCTGATGGCAAACAATTCAAAGTTCCCCAGATCTACAAATAAAATTTGGTCCTGAATTTAAAATTCTTCATCTGCACATATTGCTGTTCAACTAATTCTGACTATTACCTCAGCCAACAACCATATATGAAACCTTGGAGTACGCAGTGTTTGGAAAGACGATGCAGCCTCTCCCCAACCATGCACAATCAGTGTGACACACAGGAAGCATGGAGGACTGTATGGTATTTATGTCTTAAAAATCAATTTCATTTCTGATTCTAGCTAAAATTCTTGCTGTTGTTTATTCTTTTTTTGCCCCATAAAACCCATTGCTGTCAAGTCAATTCCAATTCATAGCGACCCTATAGGACAGAAAACCACCTTAAATCCTTTTTGAATCAAAATAATGATACACAAAAAATATGCTCCTACTAAATATTCTGTGATTTTTCAATAATCACCAATTTATTATTTGAAGAGATTTATGACAAAAGGAGTGAATCTTACAATGTCACCAGCAGAGCATTTTTGGATGTGATGTGTGATTCTGTTTTCCATACTTTACCATGAATAATGCAAAGGAAATGAAAATATTTGGCAAAACAGATGGAATTTGGGAGGGTAAGGGAGCCATCTCACAATATTTATATTCTCTGTGTCATTTCAGACTTGGTGTCTTTGTCATCAGTTCTAGGCTGCTCCATTATTAATACCACCGTCTGGTAAGATTCTAGTCCTCTTGGCATTTCTTCTGTTGGGGATTCTTGTGATCTTAGTCTATAAAAGAAACACAAATGGGCAATGTGTGAGTTGGGACCAGAAAGTAAATTTAGTTCTGTTTGCTTAAGAGAGTGCCTTGTGCATTCTCTGCTGTGCACCTTTCTCTTTCTATTTTGCATAATGTGTATTGAACTAAAAGAGCATCACATACTCTTCCTACATGATTTCAAGAATACAGAACATTAATTCAAAAGAAAAGATGTGATGGTAGGACAAGGTTACAACGCTGAAGAAAATCCTGCAGGAAGAAAATCAAATGGGAGAGGCTAACATTCTAACGAATCCTTGGGTTGTGCAAAAGGTTAATGAGCTTGCCTGCTAACCAGAAGTTTGAGTTCATCCAGAGGTACCTTGGAAGAAAGTCCTGGTGATCTACTTCCAAAAAAATCAGCCACTGAAAATCCTATGGAGTACATTTCTACTCTGGCACACATGCATCTCCATGAATTGGAGTCAACTTGACGGCAACTGATCTTTTTAATGGAACCCTGGTGGCATAGTGGGTAAGAGCTCAGCTGTTGACCAAAAGGTCGGCAGTTTGAATCCACCAGCTGCTGCTTGGAAACTCTGTGGGGTAGTTCTGCTCTGTCCTATAGGGTTGCTATAAGTCAGAATCGACCTGACAGCAAAGGGTTTTTCTGGGGGGGTTTGATGTTTTTAACAGATTCTATTTGTTTCTGAGCACTAAGCTAGGCTATAGCTTGTCTTTCCACATTTATCAAGGGTGATAAGATGGGAGCCAAGCAGATTGGTGGTTCGTAAAAGGTGCATGAATAAAAAGGAGAAATATAAACAAAAATTGGCTAAACAAAGCAAAAGTAAAATTTGAACTGGGAAATCCAACAACCATGTCTAGGTAAGGTCAAGGAGCAGAGTGCTTGCAGACAATGGGATCCCCTGAGGGATCTGCTGTTGGTGTTTCCTCGGTGGTGTCACTGGACACTGAGCACCCATCAGCCCAGTCGGTTAAGCCACTGGAGTCTGGTTCCTGGGTTGGTTCTTGACTGGTCTCCCCAGTAGAGAGGGTAAATGGTCCTTCTGTGGTTGGTTCCTATTAAACTGGTTCTGTAACAACAGTGTGGTCCTCTTGAGCCTTGGCTAGTTCCTTGGCTAGGTGGAATAGTTATTCTTCAGTAAGCATTGGAATTAGGTTTTCAAGTGGCAAAGTTTGGGAAAGGTCTGAAAACAACAACAACAAAAATGAAAAGTGACTCTGTATTAGATTGGTTTCATTGTACTGCTTAAAACCCGTAGCCCTCGAGTCGATTCCAACTCATAGCTTAGTTTTTCTTATTTTTAAACCAAGATAATTAAATAAGAGAAAGGGGGCAATGACTCAAGATATTTTATGAAAAACATTTTCACTTAAAAATCAGGCCTGTCTCAAAATGATGCAGTTTATGCAAGTCCTCTTTCACCTCCTTTTACAAACATTGCCCTTGGCCTCTAACTGTTGGTATAAATGATGGGATAATCAGGTCAGGAAAGTACTAAATTACCAAATTTGTACATTGTAAGGCATTTGGTATATTGGATCATTGCATTGTCTTTTCATAAAACCAGCACTTGTGTTTGAACTTGTCCTAGGAAGGGAAATAAATAATCCTTTCTTATATCGAGAAATCCATGAGTCAACCCAACATAGTTACATTTCCAAAATAATTTCCTTTACCACCCTTGCTTTTCCTTGTTCAAATCTGTCGGATAGTGGTATAAAGGACTGAGTGTTCCATCTTTTGCCAGAGATGGGACTGTTGCAAGCCAACCACACAGAAAATAAAAAAATATTTTCATTAAGGAAGAAAAAAAGTCATATTGAACAAATTTCCTTATTAATTGACTCATAAGTTGCAAAGTATAGACCAACAAGAAATTTCCAATTTCAGAACCAACACAGCAAAATACAAGCCAATACAGACAAATCAGGATCACACTTACCTTGTCTTTTTATTGATTTCATCCAAATCAGAGTTATTAAGGTTGAAATACTCAAAATATGTTTCAGCATTTTGGCAAGGTTTTCCAAGTGTGAGGACTAGAACAGAACTGAGAAGTGTGGCAGCCAGTTGAGTCAAGTTAGTCATATTTAAAGAAACTCCGCCCCTTAGTATTGGTTTCCTCCACCCATTTTGAAATATTGCTGCCAGCAACAATAGGCTTTGTAAGTAAAAGTTCAGACGCCTATGTTCACTACCACCATGGAAGTCCAGAGGTTTCAGTTATTTCCCAGGTGGTGGAGCTCAGGTGAAGTATGAAGGTGAGGTATGAGGGAGGAGATTTGGCATGATGGTAGCTAAAGAAAAGGTCAGGAGGTGGAATGGTCCAGACGATTATGATTGTGTGTGCTTCTGTTGGAGGCATTAGGCAAAGTCATTCCAACCCGATAAAAGTAGCTGAACTTCCTGAAAGTCAACACAAGCTTGTTGTGAAACAGACCTGACTTGGCATTTTGGCTCTGTCTTATGGGAGCTGTATAAACTAGGCCTATTGTGGAAACTTTCTTGGGTGGGGTCCCCTCATCTGCAGGATGAGGGGGACAGTCACCTCACAGAGTATTGGGAGGAGTAAATAAAATAATGCACATAAAGTGCCTGGTTCCCATGAAAGGCTCAATAAACAGGGATTTTCTCTCTTCCCTTCTTTATTCAGACCAATGATAAGTGGGGAAAATTTAAAGGTAACTAGTAACCATTTGCCTTTGAGTAGACTCCTACTCATGGAGACCCCATGAGTGTCAGAGTAGAACTGTGCTCCACAGGGTTTTCAGTGGCTGATTTTTTAGAAGTAGATCACCAGGCCTTTCTTCCGAGGTGCCTCTGGAAGGACTCAAACCTCCGACATTTTGGTTAATAGCTGAGCACATTAATTATCTGTACCACCCAGGAAATGCAAATATTTTTAAACTATGTATTTTTTCCTGCAAAAATGGATTCCTACCATTTATGGAATCTACACAACATTGAATCTTTAGTTTTTAATCTTTGGTAATTGCTATAGTGCCACAGTCTTGACTTCAGCTAAAAGTTTGAGACTTAAAAAAAATTGCTTGTAAATAATACTGACAAAAATGATTTTATTCAACATGAAGACTAATGCCATGATTCCACAGGCTTTCTCTTCCCAGCACTTCCCTGGGGGTGGCTACTTGGGGAGGTACCATGGGGCAGGGGTGGTGTGGGGAGAGTCGTTCTGACTGTCCTTTTAGCTTTACCTCCTTCATATCCATCCACTTTTGCCTTCTGTACATTTTACACATGCAGAGCAGGTATTGGATCTAAGAAAATTATGCCCCGGTGGGCTCAGAGAGTACAGTCTAGATCTATGACCAAAGGCAGATATGGGAGGGACACCAGCACCAGGACTGAGAATCACCTATGCTGCTACAATAGGTCCAAAGTGCAGCATCCATAAAATTGCCGTCAGACCAGGGGCTGGGAGCAGTGTTGAGCAGAAGCATCTGATTTCTTGAGCGTGTTGAAAAGCAGGTAGTATTTGTTATTGATTGCAATTAATAATTATAATAATGAATGGCTAAATTAACATATACCTCAATAATTTTAAATCACTTGGGATTCTACAACTGGTGGCACAGTGGCTAAGAGTTTGGCTGCTAACCAAAAGGTCGCCAGTTGGAATCCACCAGCTGCTCCTTGGAAACCCTATAGAGCAGTTCTACTCTGTCCTCTAGGGTTGCTATGAATCAGAATTGATTCGACAGCAACGGTTTTTCTTTTTTTCTTTTTTTTTGTGATTCTAATAGCAGGCACTGGTGGTTGGTTTAGTGGTAGAATTCTTGCCCTCAGTGTGCGACACCCAGGTTCAGTTCCCAGCCAATGAATCTCATGTACAGCCACACCTATCTTTCAGTGGAGGCTTGTGTGTTGCTGTGATGCTGAACAAGTTTCAGCAGAGCTTCCAGACTAAGGTGAGCTAGGAAGAAAGGCCTGGTGATCTACTTCTGAAAATCAGCCAATGAAAATCCTACAGATCACAACAGGCTGATCACACTGTGCATGGGGTCACCATGAGTAGGGGGCTAACTTGATGGCAGCTAACAACAACGAATGATTCTAATAGGCTAATCTAAAGTTTATTGCACATTTGTTGGGGAAAGTAGGTTTGCAAAGCAGATCAATAATGTGAAAGGGAAGAAACCTAACAGTTATGATGTGTTGGGCACAGTACCATTTGACTTTTGTGTACATATCTCATTTAATCCTGACAAAAGCTCTGTGAATTGTTATTTTTATCAGTATTTTACAGTTGAGAGAACTGACACTCAGAGAGGTTAATAACTTGCCCAGATTAGTGGTGAGGGGAACTTGAAGCCCAAATCTACTCATGCCAAAGCTCAAGTCTAATCATTTTAAGAATAAAAGACAACAACATCTTTTCGTATACTTGACAAACTACTTTAACAGGGGTCCCTACTTGACAACCCAGGAAGTACTTATTACAATGTTTTTTTTTTTTAATATCATTAATAGAAAGTTAAGATATTCTGGCCGCCAAAAATCAGCTAGAGTATAAAAGCACTACATTTTTTAAGGACTTGACTGTAAAATCATTTTCTCTGAAAATATCAGCTTCACTAAATGGTTCATTATGATTAAACCGGTTGCCATTGAGTCAATTCTGAGTCATAGCAACCCTATAGGACAGAGTAGAACTGCCCCCTAGGGTTTTCAAGGCTGGTAGATTAACCTTTTGGTTAGCAGCAGTAGCTCTTTACCACTGAGCCACCAGGGCTCCTCATTATGATCAGGCACTAAAAAAACATTTAAATTCCAATTTGGGAGTAACTAAATTCAGGTACTGGGCTAAAAACATTCAAGAAAGTGAACTTAGGAGATAGGAATTGCTGTCATGAATTATCTTGCTCCATCAGCTGATAATTAATATTCTGTTTCATTCATAATGTCTGTGACTTAAGTCAACCCAGGCAATCATTAGTCATCTACCTTTCCCTCAGTCTTTCCTTAGTGGGACACGGGGGAGCCATCTCCAAATTATCGTCTCGGAGAATGTGCCCAGAAGGCAGAAGTGTGAAGAGATGGGTGAGGTGGATCTTCTGAGCTCATTCTCCATTCCCAACCAAAAAAAAAAAAACCCAACCAATTGCCATGGAGTCGATTCCGATTCATGGCGACCTCATGTGTGTCAGAGTAGAACTGTGCTCCATAGGGTTTTTAATGGCTGATTTTTCAGAAGTAGATCAGCAGGGCTTTCTTTGGAGGCACCTCTGGGTGGCCTTGAACCTCTAACTAACCTTTAGGTTTGTAGCTGAGTACATTAACCATTTGCACCACTCAGTGACTCCGTTCCCAGCTCTTTCCTAAATTGGGTATTTCTTCCCAAATGTAGTTAATGATTTCTCCTGCCTTAGTACGTTTCCTCTGGCCACCTGGATCTGGACCTTTCCACTAGATATTTACTTTCAACACATGTGCTGCATTATCATTATTATTTTATAAAAGTGGTAAATACTGTGTATATTGCTAACAAATTTTTTTCAAGTTAAAAATTTACCTTGGGCATTAACCATGTCAGTTCCAAAACCTGTTTTCAGGTATTCCAAGGCAAAAAGCCAGTTTCTTCACATGAAAAAAAAAATTTTTTTTTCTCTAGAAATGTATCCATTCCTTTTTAGAATAGATTTTTGCATTACTTAAATAGAATAGTTTTTTGATGAATTCACCATTATGTGGCACTAGTTAAAGACACTGAGTACCTACATTTGGTCTCTAAAGTAAAGGCGCCATCTCTCAGGATATATAAAGCAAGAGTCTTTTGTAAAAGTAAATCCCCACTACTACGCTTAGGAACATCAAACACATTTCTGAAAGTTGTGTTAGTATTTTTTCCTTGGAGTTTTAGAATATCATTAAGGATTCAGAAATGTTTTGGTACAGGCTCATAGTAACCCAATACATTTCACATAAAATTTTCAATATTAATAAGCAGATATTTGTGTCAACATTAAATTCTTTTTGCTTTAGTAGTTAGGAAGCTAAAATTCCAGACTATCTGCTCTATCACATCCATTAAAAGAAATCCACAGAATTCTAAATTGAGAAAAGAATCCTCATTCTACCAAAACAATTCTTGGTTTCCTTGCTCAGGCTTCTGAATGAGCCTTTGTTCTCTACTCAGCCCAGTATTTCCATCACTTAGCCTGTGAGATTGTTACTGATCATGCTGATTCTGTCCGAGAAATCTCCTCCTTAACGAGGTTATTCAAGACTTCTTTAAATAAACAAAAGAAGAATCAAAAGGGCATGAAGACAGGCCTTGCTCAATGGCTCGTCAATTAGCCATCTGGGTTCAATATTCAGGCAATGAGAGTGAGGGAATTAGCTTTAGGAGCACTTATTTTCCCTTTGAGAGATTATTGTTGACATCCCCAGACCCTAATGTGCGTCTGAGCCCTCGACAAGGTCTCAATTGTTAGGGTGTTTGTCTTGCTCTGTAGACATAATAGCAACATTTTTAACCCTTCGGTTGGTGACGTCCCTGCTCTGACCAGCCCAGTGTTCTCTATGGAGAGTTCTCACATTTCTCCTTGCTCTTCCCCCATCCTGCACCTGGGAAAATACACACAAGCAACATCCCGGAGCTCCCTGCCAGCAAGCCTTCTTATCACAATATTTTAATAAGGCTTTTGAGAGCAAGATGCAGGGCTACAGATCTTCACCTGCAAATGAACCTGAGACTCCCACCATAACCCACGGCCCCTCAGTGTCCAACTCTGAGCACTACGCGTTGCTATAGGTCGCTGGAGAGGAAACAGGAGTGGAGACCAGATGGTCTGAGTGACCGTCTTTAAGAACTTCACCCGGGAGCTTCACCTGGACTGTTGGGTTGTCCAAAGCACCATGGCTCTTCCTTATCATGCCACTCTTAACAGAGAGTGCTCTGTGAAGTGCTCCTCGAAATCTTTGCTCCTTGAAATCCCTCTTGCTGGGGACTGAGCTTATGTTAATGCTTGTGGAGTACTTTAGAAAAGAATAGCGAGAATGGTTGCACAACTTGACTGGTGTAATCAATGTCACTGAATTATACATGTAAAATTGTTGAATTGGCGTATGTTTTGTTGTGTTTATTTTCACCACAAAAAAAAAAAAGAAAGAAAGAAAATTCCCTGTTGCTTTGGGAAAGCAGAAAAACAAACGTTCTTGTGAGTGCAGTTTTCCTCCCTCCAATCTCTCCTTTACATCCAAGTCCCTCAATCAGAAGACATTGTTATTTTCTATTGTTCTTCCTGTTTGTGTGGTTTGGAGCTTTATCTAAAAGCTTGATGATGAGAGAGAGTACCCTCTGTTCTGTGTGGGACCTCTGCATGCTTCAA